ATTTCAGTTAGTGTGTTCAATACCTTTTCCCTGTGCCATTCCACATTATTACAATTAACTTCATTTCTGGACATACAGTATATGGTTTGATTTCTTTGTATGTATGGATCACTTGGGTTGTTACCGACATCTGGTGAAAATTTCATGTCATTAGCACCTCTAGTAATATATTTACTGAGAAAAATGMTGACGTGTTCAATACCTATTTTACCCGCTGCATTTCAGTGTTCTGTTCTGATCATGCAAAAAAAAAAAGAAAAAAAAAGAAAAGTAGCAGCAAATTTAGTATTAAACCCAAGCACAGATTTACAAAACGGGAGTTGTTTTTGTATTGTTTAGATGATTAATTTACCTTGTTCAATGTGTGACAGAACAAGCTTAGCCAGCGTCACTTTCAGAATAGACTCCCCGTGGCCTGTGCACGATACCGCACCCCAGGAGTTGTCAGCATATCCGCCGCAGCCTTTTTGTAAAGCACGAAAAACGAGTTACAAAAAAGACATTTTGAGCATTTTTCCAGTCAAACAAATCTGAGATTATAAAGTCATACCGATGACAGGAGAGTCTCCTACTCTGCCCACCATTTTATTCCTGATGCCCCCAGTTGATGTTGCACACGCAACATTACCAGCACAGTCCACGGCCACTGCCCCAACAGTATCATGAGCCCTAGGATCGGGAAAAAAACATCTACAAACATACTGTGCAGATCTGACTTGTAACATTTAGTGTMTGAATCAAAAGAATAGGCGTCAAAAGATTTACTGCTGTGTCATTAAGCATTCATTTATCAAAATAAGATAAATTATGACAAGTTGTTCAGATTCAAAACACTCAGTGTAAAAGCATCAAAGAGCATTTCCTTTGATTTGATTTTTACAGCAGAAAAAAACCAAGTGAACTAGATTAAAACACAGTGGTTTGATCAGAAACAGTGTTTCATTTATTGATTAAATATTCTATGGATATCGAAATGTCTTTGTAATCTCTTATTAATGTAACGTTTTTTTGATCTTCATGAGAAAAACAGACATTCACGAGGAAAGAGAAAATCAAACAGAACAGAAATACAACATACCACTGAGAGTTAAACGCTTCCATGACTCCAGTGACGTAATGCTTGTGCTTCTCCCATTCTCTCTTTTCGTACTCAGACACCAGTGACTCAGTAGGAACCGTGCTGACGCCAATGCTCTGCGCAAACAGGTTTGCACCTTCGCCTGTCAGCATGACGTGGGAAGTCTGGGATTTTCCACGACAACAAACATGTAAGAAAATGAAAAAAAAAAACTAGAGAAATTGCATTTCCTGCAAAAATGCTAGTGGGAATGCCTGTTGTTGAAAACATAAGCTGAAAGTTGCTGAAATTGAGCTGAAAATGTTTAATAGCAAAAGTAGGTAAGTTAAACTTGAAGAGCTGAAAGAAGAAAAAACAGTAAAACGGAGCAAAAATATAGCTGAAACAGAAAAAAAGCTAATAGCTAAAAGCTAAAATAGCTGAGTATAGCAGAAAGCAACTGTAAGAAGCATACAGTGGTTTGCAAAAGTATTCATACCCCTTGAACTTTTCCATATTTTGTCACATTACAACCACAAACA